AGAGCAGTGAGGACACAGGTAAGGGGCCGGGCTGGCTGGGGCGGGAAGGGGCAGAATTAGCCTAGGTCACTGCAGCCCCCCTGTCCCCACAGGTCCAAAGGACGCCCCGGAGTACGGGAACTACCAGCCAGGGTCCCTGTGTGGCTACTGCACCTTCTGCAATGTATGTCCCCAGCTTGGACCTGCCCGCCCACCAAGCTGTCCCTGAGGATTTGTCCTGGGGACCCTGGGGTGCCGTGGGAGAGCTCTGAGCAAGGGAGTGGCCGGGACAGGTCTGGGTAAAAAAGATCCTTCTGGGACCAACTGGAGGCCAGGAGGCTGGGGTGATGATGCAGGAAAGGGGAGGATGAGAGCTAAACAGCACCTGGGAGAGTGGAGCAGGCCCAGGCCTGGGCCTGGAGTCAGGGTTAGGAGGGACAGGACGGGAGATGTCAGGCAGAGGGGAGGGGACGGGTCACTCCGGGTGCAGAAGCTGCAGGGAAGATACTGAGTTCAGTTGGTAGCGAGGGCAGGAGTGTGGAGAAAGGTCGGGGTGCTGTGGACGACCCCCTCGTCTCTGCAGCGGGTTAAGGCTGCCATCTAACCAGCTCCTCCGTCCCCAGAGATGCACTGAATGTGAGAACTGTCACTGTGACGAGGAGAACATGGGAGAACACTGCGATCAGTGCCAGGTGGGACGCTCCCCAGGCCTCAGGATGGCCCGGGCCACCCTAAATCTTATGTCCCGGCCCCTGACCCCAGACTAATCCAAACCCCTAACCCCTAATGCCCCCTTGGCTCCGCCCCTCACCTCCACCTGCACCCCGGGCCTGACTCTCCCCTGACCAGGATTCTTCTCCTCCGGCCCCTAGCACTGCCAGTTCTGCTACCTCTGCCCGCTAGTCTGCGAGACAGTCTGCACTCCAGGTGAGCGGGGCGGGGACAGAAAAGCCCTGAGGGAAGGGTCGGGCGCCCAAGGTGAGCCCTGGTGTGGGCGGAACCAACGAGGGCGGGGTCGGAGGCCAACCGGGCGGGGCTGGTGGGGGCGTGGTCAAGGATCTAATTATAGGGTGGGCGTGGCCTGAGACAAACCACAGGATGAGTGACGGGTGAAGGGCGGGCCTTGAGGCGATTGGGCGGGACCAAAGCAAGCAGAATTTGAAGGCGCGGGGCTATTAGAGAACAGGACCGGGTTTAGCAAGAATGAGCGCAGTCTTCAAGAAGTCCCCTCGTGGGCTCAGCTGAGGTCCGGAACTGGGAACAGGGGTCAGGGCTAGCCCTATCCCCGCACTTATATTTAGTGTCCCTTTAATATTGCTTGTAGAATACCCCTCAAACCTCCTCTCTCTGCTCCCCTATAGGAAGCTACGTCGACTACTTCTCCTCGTCCCTATATCAGTAAGTGTGCAGGGGATGGGGGCACCTCAAGGGCCCTGTTCAGATAAGTCCTGTCCCGAGTTATGAGGGGACCCTGGGCCTCCATATCCTCGTCCGTGAAAGGGACTGGGCAATCATCTCTAAACATCCCAGGGCGACACTCGGGCTGTGTGACCTCTGTGTCCTCCTCTCCAGAGCCCTGGCAGACATGCTGGAGACTCCGGAACCCTGATCTGGCCCTTGACTGCGGCATGTGTCCCTCCCCCACCCCTCCGACCCTTTACCACAAGCCATATTTATTTCTCTGAATAAACGTGCTCCCCGAAACCTCACAGTCATGCAGGGCCGATTCTCCAGGTATCAGAGAATGGGGAGGAGGGAGCTGGGGAACTGACTCTTCCGCCCCAGGGTGGAGGGTTGGACTCAGGCAGAAGGACTCCAGTGTCCCCGAGGTGCTTTGCTTTCCGAGGGACCTAGCCAAAAACCAGTCGACACGGGAGCTTTTTGAAACAGTTCTCTTTACCCGTGATCACTGAGTGACGGCTGGGGCCAGGAGGCCGACCGAGAGCTGGAGGCGAAGGTTCCCACACCATCCGCCCTCCTCCCACGCCACGTCGCTCAGTGGCACCGTGGAAAGAGGATTCTCCCATGCAAACCCCGGAGCCGGAGGGGACCCGGGGGCGCGCATCTGCGCCCCCTGCCCCTGGGGCACGGACACGGCCACAGCACGGGGACGGGGAGGCCCCGGGGACACGAGACATGGGGAAGGGACAGGGGACCCCGCCCGCAAATGACCCCGGGGACTGGTGACCGGATTCGGTGGGGCGGGGCCGAGTGGCGCAGGGGGCGAGGCTTGTAGCAGCGAGTCCCTCCTCCCCTCCTTTCGGAGGAAGAAGGCAGACTTGGGCCCCGCAACTGGGCAGGAGAAAGGGGAGGGGACAGCCTTTCCCCGCATGCGGCCCGGGAGGGAAGCCCCGCCCCCTTTCCGCGGGTGGAGAGCACCCGTCTCACGTTGGAAACTGATCAATAAATTACAAAGTAGCGAAAAGGGAGGCGGAAGTTTGGAGCGGGATCGCTCCCTTCCCTCTCCTGTCCCCCCCTTAGTACAGTCCACATGGTTTGGTCCAGGCCCAGTCCACTGGGGAGGTGGGGGCGCGCGCGCCCCCTGTCTGTACAGATGGTGCAGTCCGCGACTGGAACTCCTGGCAGGCTCTACAGGGCAAGCCCAGACTCTGGGCAGCAGGCGGGACAGCCCAGCTGCTGGGAGAGTCCTCCATCCGAGTGAGGTCACCTGCAGGGACACGGGACAGTGCAGACCGCAGGGAAGACCCACTGTGCCGCCCTGCGTCCCTAGAGCTCCTAGTACCGTCATGTCCTCACCTGGAGGCCAACACTAGCAGGAGTAGGTCCGGACCGAAACGCCGTCTGCCCGGGAGCTCCCAGAAGTCTGGCCTGGAGGGGAAACGAGCTAGGATTCAGCTAGAGCGCCCCTGCCCTCACCCTGGTTTTCCCTCAGGGTTGCTGTGAGCTCATCCTCAGCCCCAGGAAACCCTTCCCCTTGGGTTTCCTCTCCTGATATCTCAACCTCACATCAGGTTTCCTTCCTCCCTTCCAGGAAGCCTGGGACTTAAACAAGGGGCCCCTGGTGGCTTAGGGTGGATTCATTTGGGGTGTGTGGTTCATCCACCCCAAGGAGAGTCTGGAATATTGGAGCAGTCCGTTTGTCAGCAGAACCTGGAAGGGTAGAATTGGTCCAGTTCCCGCTCTGGAGAAGGGGAGGGGCGGTCACATTGGAGGCTCCGCACCCCGACACCCACCTTCGGGCTGCAACTTTCGGAGAGGGAGCCCTGGTGAGCCCAGGGCTCCCGCTGCAGCCGAACGAAAGTTGGGAGGCAACATCTCAGCAGAGTCGGGGGTCACGCCTCGGAGGTCCTTCTCTCGAAACATCTTCCGCCAGGATGGGGAGCGGCTGAAGGACTTGGCGCTGTCCTGAGGAGCCGGCAGACGAGGAGGGCTTCAAACCACGCTTCGACTCCGCCCCTTCACTTGTCCCCGCCCCTCCGAGGGTCGCACCTCCCCCTTAACCCAGCTCCTCCCTGCCCCAGCCTCCAATCAGCACTGGTCCGCAAAGCCAAGCCCCACTCCCTCAGCCCAGACTCCGGAAGTGCTGCTAGAAGCAGCAGCTCCAGCTGCTGCTGCGCTCACCTCGTCCAGCCGCCTGTCTGTGCCTAAGGAGATGAGGTTGCTGAATTCCTTCTCTAGGAGTTGCCGGGCCTGGAGAAGGAGGCGGGAGAGAGGTTGGAGTGTGCTGTCTGCGCTGGGAGAGCCCGGCCTGCTCCAGGCCCAGGGGCCGCTCACCTGCGCGTTCTGCGTGGGGATCTGCAGAAGCAAGGCCAGGTCGGAATAGTCGAAGGTCTCGTCCAGGGCGAGCAGCGCCCCGTGCACCCCGCTTTCCGTGAGGTTTGTGGCGAATTCCTTCAGGCCCAGCCCGGACACCCAACCCATGACTCGCTCATTGGACCACACCATCACGTCTGGGAACGGAAGGGACCCTCAGCCACGCCCCCCCCACCCCGTGCCCAGGTCTTCCTCTTCCCTGGCCTCTTTTTCCCACCCGTCCCTCCCCACACCCCTCCCACTGGCCCACACTCTTCTCCTCACCTCGGATCTGGGTCTGGCTTTCTTCCCGCCTCCGCTCCAGGTCCTTCCGGTCATAGTTGAGCCGTTTTAGGCACATAATCCCATAATGTAGACTCACCCTGAGCATCAAGGGAACAGGAATCTCAGAGGAGCCTCGCAGCCCTCCCTCTGGGCCCTCTCCATTGGCTATGCTATTCTGGGCAGGTCAGGGAGCTCCAATGATCAGCCACAGTGCTTGTAGGCCCTCCCAGGAGGCGGAGTATTTTTAATACACAGATCCTATTGGCTAGCCTGGCCCGGGTGTGGATTTAACCAGCCAAGCTGTGGATTTGAGTTTTTCCTATGGACCATCTTCTTGGTGTGCATAGGGCACCTAGTCTGGATTTCCTGACCTACCCAGGCTGAAGGGCCAAAGATAATCCTAGATTCCCCATCACCAGCCCCACGGGCCAGAGACTCTCTAGGGGCGGGGCTCCCCCCATCCCCACCAGCCAGGCAGCCCCACCTGTGGAAACTGTCCACCATCTTGAGCTGGCCCCGGAGCTCCTTCTTGTTAAGGTGATCTAACATTCGGGCATCCACCAGCGACTCCATGAAGTAACTGCGGTACTGGGGCAGCCCCAGGCTGGGTAGCCAGTCGTTCCCCACCCACTCGTGGTTCATGTCGCCATATGCCAGGATCTGGGGCCATGGGAGGTGGGGGAGGTCAGGTCTCTGGGCCCTTCCCGTGTGTGTAGGAAAGGGGTACAGTTCAGCCCCCAACCCAAGGTTGTTGTTCCCCTACCCCAGAGCAGAACAAAGACTAATCCCTGCTTTGGACAATGGGCCAATCCAAAGTTGTCTCCTACACTGTGACAGAATGGTCTCAGCATGGGCCAGGGACCCTCAGCATCACCGTCATGTATGCACTTGGCAGAACCGGCCTAGTGAAGTCAGTGTTTACGTTTTCACAAGATCCCCCAGAGACCTGAGCTGTGCATTAAATTATGAGAAGCATCGGTCTGTGTCCCAGCTCAATCTGAAATCACTACTCTCCCAAGGCAGGTGAATGGATTCTCCCAGCGTGGCTCCCCCCACAGTGTGACACTCCCACAGTGTCTTCAATATACTCAATTAATGCTGCACCTGACCCAGGACCAAGTTCTGGGTCAGCCCAAAGACCTTCACTCCCCTTAACATAATCCACACTTCCACCGGCTAGAAACCAAGACCACGGCCCAACATGGCTCCTCCGCAGGGTCATGCCCTCCCTTCTTGAGAACAAAGTGCACCTCCCGTCCCCATTTCTAATTCTGCCTGCTCTGCCTCACCATCACCATAACCTGGAACCGCACAGCATAGCCTCTTCCCCTTAACCCTAGGGAAAGCAGGCGGCTAGCGCTGTCCTCCAATCACAGAAAAGAAACAGCCCCTAGAGCCCCCCACCAACCCCGCAACGGCATGGCCAGAACAGGGTGGCTTTCACTCGCGCCCCAGCCCCCATACACACCATGCTTCAATTAATCAGTCCGGAGCTGAGCTCGGTGCTGCCGCCCCCACCCGCGCCCCGCAGGATGAGGAGAAGTTCTGGGGAGGGAAGGGGCTGGACTAGGGAGGGCGAACATGCAGCGTGCGCAACCTGTTCATGCGCCCACGCCCCGCCCCGCGCCCCTACCTGCTCCCAGCTGATCTCCTTGGTCTCCTGACCCGTTAGTGGGAAGAGGGGAGAGAAGGGGTGGGTTAAGGGGCAGGCAGAGGAACACGGCAGGGACGGACAGCAGGATGGCCACAGACCCGCCCCCGCCCGCAAGGAGGGTTAGTGCCATCCCCTCAGCCACTGGCAGGGGCACTCACGGGCTTCGTTGCGGCCGTCAGGGACTCCATCTCCTCGTGGGTCATCCACACGTTTCCTGTGGGCTGAGGAGCAGGGGACGTTAGGGGACAGGGCGGACATCAGATGGGGGCAGAGGACGGGGACACCGAGGCCCCTGGGGCAAACGCTTCCGCACAGCCTCCGGCCTGGGGGCCCCGCAGGAACAGAGAAGAGGACGGATCTCTTACTGAGCACCTCCCTGGACTAGGCTGAGTGGCCTGGCACGGGTGACATCGCCCAGGATTGAGCAGGAGGTGGCAGACAGCGAGGGGTGGGGTTTGCTCACACTGATTGAGTTACTGCTGCCGGCAACTCCACCAGTTAGGAATTCTTACTCGGACCCAAGTGTGGGTCCTGGTGTCAGGCACGTCAGGGGTCTAGGATATGGCAGCGAATTCAACAGGCAGGGCTCTGGTCTTGGAGGAAACAAAAATGACCAAGTAGTAAACACGGTTGGGTCTGGTGGCACATGCCTGTGATCCCATCATTCTAGGAGGCTGAGGCAGGAAGATCACAAGTTTGGACCCAAACCAAGCAGTTTAGCAACTTAGATCTTGTCTCAAAAATAAAATACAATGTTAAGAGGGCTGGGGATGTAGCTCAGTGTGCAGGTCCTGGTTCAATCCCCAGTACCACAAACAAGTAACCCACGCTTAGGTGTGTTAAGGGAATGGTGTTTTCAAAGAAGAAAAAGATGCCGCTGAAATCATTTGGGGATTTGACCTGTTGTGATGGCCTCAAATGACATTCAAGCACCTCAGAAGTCCCCTCACGTATGGAAACAGCAGAGATGGCAAGGGGTTAACGACTGCCGGGTTAAGAGTTGGGGCCACTTAACTACTGTACATTTGAAACCTCTCAGTAAAAAGTTGCAAGGAAAGGAGAGAATGATTAGAAGGCAGGAGAGGCGACGGGGAGAAATGAGTCGGCACTGCTTTGCTAGAGGAGGAACCACAGTTCAGGTGGGGACCCAGGGAAGGTGCCCGGGAGGAGGTGAGATCTGTGCTAAGACCTCAAGATGACAAAGGGTCAGTCTTGGGGAAAAAAAACGAGTAAAGGGAGTAGCAGGTGTCAAGAAGGAGGTCAGGGGAGGAGGTGGCAGGGGCCGTTCAAGCAAGACCTGGGGCAACACGCTTTGGTCCAGCGTGGAGAGGAGGCCGGGAGATGGAGCAATGATAGCAAATGAGAGCAGAGTCCGGAGGCAGAGCTGGAATGAGCAGGCTCAGGATTGGCTACACCGAGGGCAGGGGTGGGGCCTGGTGCAGCAAGGGCCGGGATTGGCCTCTGGCCACTCACCGTGCGGGAGGAGGCAGGCGCGGAAGGGGAGGTGAGGGAGACCATCTCCTGGATGGCGAGGCGCAGCTTGAGCCGGTGCAGCGGGTTGCTGATGCCGATCTCGCGCTGGATCTCCGTATCCGACAAGTTGGCCATGATGGCACCGCTCTTGACGTTGGCCCGGCAGGCGGCCACGTACCATGCGGGCATGCCCACCCATAGCTACAGCAGAGGGACACAGAGAGGGAGGCCGTGGCGGGAGAGCAGACAGAAAGCAGGGAATGGGACAGGTGGGAGAGCGGAGTGGGACGAATGCGGGCCCAGGGGACCACAGGAGAAGGGACAGATAGGATAAGTGGGGACAGAGAGCGGAGGGAGAGGGGTGGGAGACAGGAGCCAAGTCCGGAGACACCGGGAGTGACGGAGATGCAGTAACAGCAGGGGGAAAATACAGAAAAACAGATGGAGAATCCCACAGACAGGCACGGGTGGACACAAAGGGACATCGAGAAATGATACAGCAAGACCCGGGTGGGTAGGACCAAGGCAGGGGTGGGAGAGGAGAAAGAAGCTGTTTCTACTGACAGGAAGCTCGCGCCCCGCCCCTCCGCCGACCTGGCCTCCCTGCAGACCCCACCCTGGGCCCGGAGCAGGGCAGCTCTGCCCCAGTACCTCCAGCCAGGAGACCACGGTGGGCCCGTCCCAAGCAGCGAAAGGCAAGCCCTGGCGACAGGCCTCTTCCAGGAGCTCGTGCCTGGGGAAGGGGTGACAGGAGCTGTCGGGCAGAGCCCTCAGCCCTTCGCAGACAGCCCTTATTCACACACATGCACCCGCACTTGTGGAAGTGCTGCTTATGTATGTCACAGTTACAGCAGGTCACAATTACATGTGGATCATTGTAAATCCATCTCACCCACCCCTACAAACAGAAAAAAATAAGCCGGGTGTGGTGGTGCACTTCTGTAATCCCAGCACTCTGGGAGACTGAGGCAGGAGGATGGCAAGTTTAAACCCAGCCTGGGCCATTTAGTAGCTTAGGGAGACCCTTTCTCAAAACAAAAAATAGAAAGGGGCTAGAGATGGAGCTCCGAGTGAAGGCCCTAGGTGCAATTCTCAGAGCGGGAGGGAGGGAGAGAAAGAAAAACAGAGCGGGGAGGGTTGGAGAGGGAGAGAGAGAGAGAGAGAGAGAGAGAGAGCACACTCCAGAAGTTTCCCTGCAAGTAAGTTCAGACTCATGAAAAACAAAAAGTTCAGAATCGGTATCATGGACACCCAGTCCTGCCATCATTTTGGTCTTACCTATATCCACCACCGTCATCACCCTGCGCACACACACACACACACACACACACACACACACGATGCTCACTTCCACTTGTTCCTCCGGTCCTTGTCTCCGGGGCCTGTCAGCTTGGCTAACCCCAGGGGATCGGTGGCTAGTGTCTCCTCCGAGGGTGTTCCAGCTGGGGGCAGGCAAGCGACAGAATTGAGAAAGTCTTAGGGAAGAGCTTCAGGCTGGGGTGGTAAAAGGGACCCCAGAGGCATAGGCCCTGAGAGAGATGCAAGTTGGGCCACAGGCAGGGCGCAGTGGAGCCAGAGAGGGACAAGTGTCATCCCTGGCAAGGAACTGGAGATGTCCCCAAAACAGGCAGGAGGATTGCAATTTCATGCCCAGCATGAGCAACTTAGTGAGACCCTGCCTCAAAGTAAAAAATAAAAGCAAAAAGGATGGGATGAGGGCCCTGGGTTCAATTCTCAGTACCACACACTTAGGAAAAAGATAAAATCAATTCATTTGCCCACCCAGGCAGGCCCCAGGGCACCCTATCTTTCTCCTTTCTCCTCGGTCTACCTGTGAAGTCCACATTCTAACTGAAGGACCAGAGGGGTGAATATACAAATGAACGTCCAGTGACAGAAAAGATGGGAGGGGAAACAGAGAGCAGGGCGTGACTGGAGCACTCACCCAGGGAAGAGCTGTCCCGGCCTGGGGGTCCCATCCGCCCCTTCTCCTTCTTGCCAAAGAGGCGGCCTATGGAGGACTTGATGCTCTTCTTTTTGGGGGCTTTGTGCAAGGAATCTGGGGCACCCTCACTGGGTAAACAAGAGACAGTAAGGGTAGACGCCTTCTGAGGTACCCCTGCCCTCCCAAGTCCTTATTCATTCCCCTGCCTCAGCCTTGCAACCAAGCCCCTCCCCGTTCCCAGCCCTCGTCCCTGCTGACCTTCCCCTCGGTGGTCCCCCATCCTCCAAGGACCCTGCCTGTAGTGCTAAGGCCTGAGTCATTCTCTCAAGACGGGCAGAGCGAGGAGTGGGCGGTGGAGTGTCTCCTGGAATAGCTGGGCCCTCCCCTCGTGGGACACCAGCTTCCTCCTTGGGGATGTGATTCTGGGAATAGAGAGGTGTAGTTGCTGGATTAATTTAGAGGGGTCAGATAGAGAGCTCTCCCTTAACTAGGCTGTCTGAGATGGCTCTGGTTTGGGGCACCATATCTGAAAGCAGTCTGGATCAAGCCAGGTGTGGCTCACATCTGTAATCCCAGCACTCAGGAGACTGAGTGAAGAGGCTCGCCATGAGTTCCAGGCCATCCTGGACCACATTGTGAGGCCTTATCTCAGAAGGTGAAGAAGGAAGGAGGAGGGGGAGGGG